ATTTTCTTAATTTGATCTTCTTGATGTCACTATACTATGTATATAAGTTGATTTTCTTTTAGGTATCCTGTTTGGCAGCGCATGAGTCATTTAATCCTTTGATTATGTGTGGTCATGTTTCTGTGTATCTGGAAAGGTCCAGTCATGATATTATGATTCCAGCCCTCAGGTTTACAGGTCCATGGATCCTTAATTAAAAGCTCTTTCCCAGCAACTTGTCAGAGGGTGGTGGTAAGAAAACAGGAAGATTTCAGGAGATGAATAATTCGTAGATCTGTTTACCTCTCTCTCTCTCTCTAAGAGCCAAGAACTCTGGAACTTGTTAAAATAAGAATCTTCCTCACCAAACAAGTGGAAGGAAACCTCTCCCTGTAAGAAGAACAAACCAACCAACCAACCAGTCACTCTGAAAGAAGAGATCATTACAGAATTGATTGCTTAAATCCAAAATTTGATTCTGGATAAAAATAAATGTGCATTTGTTTTTTAAAAGCGTCTGTTGGTTAAATTCGGCCTCAAAACTTTTTTTTTTTAAATTTTTATAGGTGACATCTGGAGAAACTGAATAACATTTCTCAAAATTCTTCATTTCTGACATGCCTGTGTGGAATTGTGTTAAATTTCTGGACCTGAGAGATTCCATCTTGATGCTCCATTTTCCTTTCCAACTAATGAACTCTTGAACTGAGCCAGAAGCGACAACAGTTTTACAAACAGTTAAATTTCAACACAGCAACTGGCATTCAGGTCATATGAAGACAGTAAAGGTAGTTAATACATACTAGGGACAACTTAATTTGACAGCAAAAATAAAGCAGTAGTTATCAGAAGTGGCTCCACTGGTCAGCACCAAATTAGCACCTTTTTCCCTTATTTTCTTTATCTGCCTCATGTAATCACCCCTTCCTTCTTTTTCATAAAACCCCTTGCTTTCCCTACTAGAGCACAACACTTTTCTGGTTTCCCCGAACCTGTGCTCCCCGAACTGCGATTCCACGACTCCCAAAGAAAAGCCTTTGTTCTTTCTCGGTTTCACCACCTCCTGTTCTTTAACACCTGCTTAACAATGCAGATTGCCATTCTAGAGTGCTTACTGCCCAACCGATAACTCCTCACCTTCCCCATTTCCTTTCTGTCCCTGTCAAATGAAAATGGAAGAAGTGTATTTCCTACCTCCCACCACCCCCCGTGCTTTCTCAGTTTCCCCAACCGTCACATCTAAGAACTGAAAATATTTCAGGGCGGGGACTTTTAAACTGGAAACCCCGTGTGGCCGGGCTCCTGTGGGGAGTACTTGAGGGCGAGTGGACCACCACTACGGCTCGGTGCCGGGGCGGGGCATTGGCCCGCCTCCCTGAGCTGGAGGCGCTGGGCGCGCAGCGATGAGATCCCTCGGGCTTTGCAGCTGAAGGCTGCAACCGCGCGCGGCCGGGAGCGACCATGGGGAGGCCGGTGAGCGGGGCCGGGCGTGGAAGGAGGGCGCAGGGCGGGCGATGTCGGTCCGGCTGCCCTGGGGACGGCGGCGGCCTGAGTGCGTCCGGCTGCGGCTCGCCCGGGGCTGGTCGGGCGCTGGGCTTGGTGCCGGCGCTTTCCCCGCGACGCCTAGCCTTGCCGAGAAGAGGATTTTTGCCTCGCGAAGGGTGGTTTCCAGGCTGGTCCCGGAGTCGCGGTTCTCTGTGCCAGTTGTCCTAGAAGGATGCCGCCCGGCGGGGGCCTCGGAGACGGAGACGCTTCTCTCGAGATCATTGTCCTCGGAGGGGGCCTGGGCGGGGAGGCGCGCGCCGGTGGTCGGCCAGTCCTCCCGGCACGCTGGCGGCTGGGCTCCCTGGCCCCGACCCGAGCGCACGAAAGCCCGTTCTATTTTATGCTGTCCCAAGAAGGGGATGGCGGGTGCTGCTTTGGCTTCGTGCTGGCTCCCAAAGCTGAGGTGGGGGCTGCGGGATTCAGGGTTCAGAGCTCGCTCCCTCCTTGAGGCACGGCCTCTTTCTCCATCCTTTGGTCCTTTGCCTCGGGAGCCAAAGAGGGCCAGATAAATCAGGGTTAAACCCCAGGGTATCCAGGAGAGACAGACATTTTGTTTATTCCGGATCTGTTTACATGGCGCAAACTGAATGAGCGGATTTTTATTTACGTTGGGAGAATTGAAAAGACTAATAATAATACAAGATTAAAATCCAAGTACAAGTAATACCTCAAGGTATTTTTTTTCTTTTCTTTTTTTTTCACATATGGTTTACTGGCAAGACCGCACGGCCAGTCATTTCAATATCTTTCTTAACAAAGGAGAATGGTGGCCTGGGAGCTTGTGTTTACTCGGCGCACTGGATGCTGCTAATCTTCACAACCATCCTTCAGAGGAGGAATTGTTATGTGCTTTTACAAATAAACAATCAGAGAGGTTAATTTTCAGAAGCCCATGCGACTACACGTGATGGGAGCAGGATTTGCACCTAGAAATTCAGGGGAAAGAGGCATGGATAGGAGCAGTTAGCTGCCAGAGGGGTAGCTGCCAGGTAAGACCAGGTCCCTGGGAACCCTGGCCCTCCTGGCAAGGGGTAGAAGTGGATTTCTCCATTTTCATTTTGTACTCCCTGTATGTGGTTTGATTAATGGTTTTTTTTTTTTTTTTTAGTTACCTAACATTTATTGGGATTTACTGTATCTTACGCACTGTATTAAGTGATTTCAATGCTTAATTCTCATAGCAACCCAATGAAATAACGATATTTATTTAGTGCTTACTCGTATCACTCGCTATTCTGGAGGCATTACATGTACGAACTTGCATAGTTTTTTTAATAGAAGGGTTAGTGCTATTATTTTTGCCTCGTTTGGAGAGGTAAAGTCATTTGTCCTGGCTCACACATATGGTATTTGTGCTAACCCCACTCATCAGCCAGAATAATTATGTATATATTTAATAGCAAGGCTTTCCTTCTAATTCCCTTACTTCAGTCATTGTGTTTTCCTTCTTAGACATTCTTGGCTCCCAGCTCACACACTGTGTTCTGGTGTGCGTCTGCTTTCTCTCTTATCCTAAAACACAGATTTTCACTGTGAGAGCCAGTCCATTCTGTATTCCTCATCATCTTTGCTAGAATTTGGGTTTCCATGTGAGAGAGAGGCATATGGTTAAAAAAAATGGCAGGGAATTAGAATGCCAAAGAAGACTTTAGTTTTGGAAGCCAAGGTTTTGAGACAGCAAGAGCCTAAGCATTTGAGTTTTAAAAGCCTAAACACTGGAAAACCAAGGACATACGTTATTCCAGATGGGAAGAACGCAGGAGATGGAAGAACCAGCTTTCCTGACCCTAGGGCAAATACGTATTTTCTAGGCTGGGAGAACAAAGAGGGCCTGATTAAAGTCTGTATTCAGACACAAGCTTGCCTTCTGAAAAGGCAGCCCTGTGCCTGATTGTGGTGCATGCGGAGGGAGTTCAGGAAGATGGTAAATAGAACTTACAAGGAGGTTTTGAAATCCAAGAACAGAAACCTCTGTGCCTGGCTTTCCTGGGAGAAACTGTGGAAAGAGACCAGCCTCCTCATCATGACAAGGGAAAAGTAAAACAGAGATGGATAGATACAAGGGCGTCTAGGCAGAGAGCTTGTAGAATTTCCCTTTGCCCAACCCAGGGGCACAGAATCAGGAGAACAAAAGAGAATGAGAGAAGACACTTTCGAAGCACAAGGTTTAATTGCACAAATCGATGACCATGATGACTGGAGGGGAACACAGCCATCTTAGAGAATGCTACCATGGATAGATGGTTGTAACCAAGGACTAGTAGCCCTGTCCCATGGCTTGGCATTGTGTGAGCCCGCAAGAATGGAGATGCAATGCCAGAGATTGGGACACCTGTGAAGTGCGGGGGTGGCAGGGGGCTGAATTGACAGAGATGATGTGATCTTGACTGCAGTGACGTCTCTACCTCTAGTTGGAATGGCAACATGAAATAACAATGAAACTCAGGTAAAGAAAAATACAGAGAAACCTACATTTCTTACACATCTCTAATATAGAAAAATATAGGGAAAAATTACATTTCTTGCCTGTACCCTTATGAACACACACGTAGATGAAGTGAATGGATCCATGGGGCTACTGTAGTTGGTCTGTCTACATCCACCCTCTCATTTTATAATAAAATGATACCCAGAATAACATCCAATTAAATGTCACCATGTAAAAATGCCAAGGATTTCTGCCCAGACACATGAAAACAAAGCAATACAGAAAAAAAAATAAGGATACTACTTTTTTTTTTAAAAGATTTATTTATTTATTTGAGAGAGAGAGAGAGAGAGAGAGAGAGCTCCCACAAACGGGAGGGACAGAGGGAGAGGGAGAGAGACAGAATCTCAAGCATATTCTACACTGAATGCAAAGCTGGTGATGGGGCTTGATCCTGGGACCCTGAGATCATGACCTGAACCAAAACCAAGAGTCCGACGCTTAACTGACTACACCCCTCAGGTGCCTCTGGACACTACTGTTTTTTAAAAGGCTGCAATTCGTATAAAATTTGCAGAATTTTCAGGGAAATCTACTTCAGCAAACTCTAAGGCAGTCGTATCTTTTTGCAAAGTGGTCCCCCCTGAGTTCCGTCTTTAATGTTAACAGATGTGGATTCTTTGGGAAGTGGATGCTAGCATTTGTAGTCTCTGTGTTTTCTGTGTATTTATGGCAGTTTGTTTTCCCCGACCATCCTATGTCTTTGAGACCTGGCTCTTGACAATGGTGGCTTTGAGAGCGCGGCCTCAAATTGCTAGGGATTGCCATAATGGAGGAGCCATATTGCTGCTTTTCCCTTCCCGTATCCTGAACACACTCTTTTATTTCTTCCATTTATAGTCTCCAGTTCTGTATCCACAAAACCAAAGTTATCTGGTGGTTAAAACTTGAGCTGCAGCATTCCCTGAGGTAGCCATGAGATTGAAGCTTCCTTAGCTTTTTGTCCACATGCAAATGCCCATGTCTTTGCTTTGCTTTCTGTCTTCAGGTGTTCAGGAGGCTCTTCTGTCATCTGTCTACCTACAGACTGATTTGGTTCTTGGCAGCAGTGATGCTATGCAGGGCGCAAGGTAAAAAGATACCCAATTCCCCTGCATGGGGTCCAGGGAGCACAATTTCTGGAGTGGAGACATCTGGCTAGTGTTGTTTGTGCTGTGCTAGTTCATTTGTCTGCATGAATTATTTAAACATGTAATTTGCTTGGAGGAATGGGAGTGGTTCTTTCTGCTTTCCACATTTTAGTTTTTGAAGTGGAAAAAGGCTTTGACTATTTAGAAACTGTTTCCATAGATAAAACCAGATGTGAAGAAATTCTTTCTAAATTAAGATGTTTTTCACCTATCAAAGCAAATGACTTTTACATATTATTTAAATATCATTCCCTATGTTTATAAAGATATGGAAATGCTTGGGGAGTATGAATGAATATACCCTTTTTAGAAGGTAATCTGGTAGTAAGCCTTTAAATTGGGCATGCCCCCTCTTTTACAGAAAAATATGGAAAATAATGAAATATAGAGGTTACCTTGGTTCACAGTCTATATAAAGCATATGCCTGTGCTGTCCACTTATTTGTTGAGTTTCCTAGTTGTGCCAGACCTTTCTCCTCTGTTCCATGGGATGCCACCCCTCACTTCGCCGCTGACCTTCTATAACCTTCCATGTGCTGTTGCTTTGTATCAGCCTTCACAGGTGGAGAGAGGGCAGGCTTCCCACCATCCATGGCACAGGCTTTACCAACAGACTTGGGGGAATCTAAATAGAATTCCATAGACGCATCCAAGAATTGTAAACTTTCCACTAAATTATTTCTTGTCAAATAGAAAAATCACCTAAGAAGTTAAAACTCTAGCTCGGGTTCCTTTTCTACTCTCCATTCTAAAAGCAGCAATTTCTTCAAATCTCTGCTCTGCAAAATCTCAACAAACTTTCAGAAAACCCCAGCAACAGGTACAGTCTCCAGAACTTTTCACATCTACCAAGAGTACACCTCCCTAAAACTACACTTCTGCAATACTTGTGGGTTCCAATTTGTGTCTGTTGGTATGCCTACCTTCTCATCCTTGACATTGTTGAAGGGCCACTGAGAGGACATTGCTTCTTTTTTTTCTAATGACACTAGCCAACGTGTTCTCTGTGTTATTCATTTAAAAAAAAACAAACAGATTTTGGTGTTTTTGATTAAGTCTACATGTTGTCTACCATTGTATTAATTTGTGCTTTCATCTATATGAATTCACTCCTTTTATCTTTTGGGGGGGTGGGATGTTTGAATACATGTGTGTATTCATTTATCAATCTCTCTTGTTTCCTAATGAAGTTAGGATTAAATATTTCCCTCTGAAGATGGCTTTATCAATTTCTACGGATTTTAATACATTATATTCTCCTTGTCATTTATAGTAATTGATTATTCTTGCTATGACTTCTGGTGTAATTAGAGTTGAAAGAAGTATGCAAATTTCTTTATTACATTGTGGACAGTGTTCAAGGTCATAGGGTAAGAACTTTTTTTGCATCTTATTTCAAGTTCAATTTGGGGGAATGTTTGTAAAGATTGTATGTTCTCTTTTGGTAAAAGTTTATAAATACATACCTATATACACATACACATGATTTATATATATATAATGATTTATATATAAATATTCATTTTTCAAATCTTCTCATCCTTACATTTGACTTTTTTGCTTTATCTGTATTTTTTAATATGTGGAAGTGAAAATTCTGAGCAAACTATGGAAAACTCTCCCATTATTTTTGTGGATTTAAAATTTTTCTTTTCAATTCTATGGCTTTTTATATGTTTCACTTATGTTCTTAGGCACAGAAAGGTTTGTTTGTTTAAAGATTTATTTTATTTATTTGAGAGACAGAGAAAGAGAGAACATGGTGGGGGGGTGGGAGAGAGAGAGAGAATCTCAAGCAGACTCCCTGCTGAGTGCGGAGCCTGATGTGGGGCTAAATCCCATGACCCTGAGATCATGACCTGAGCTGAAATCAAGTGTTGAATGCTTAGCTGACTGAGCCACCCAGGTATCCCAACATAAAGGTTCATAATGTATATATCTTATATTATATTGCTCCTTTTATCATTTTGAAAAATACATTTTTGTCCCTTACAGTGTTTTTTTCTCCCATTCTTCCTTTTCCCTTCTTGTAAGTCTCAGTGATGATGTTGAAACATTCCAGTTCTTTGAATTTTTCCTGAATTTTTTCCATATCTTTATGCCTTTGTGCTACATTCTGGAAGAATTCCATGACCTGCTTTTCCTACTTAACTAGTTGACCCTTCAGGGATGTCCATTCTGCTAAATCAGCCAAATCATTAAGATTTTATATTTGTCATTTTCTACAACTCTAATTTCTACTGTTTACAATGCTGGCTTCTTTTTACACTTAAGAGATCACACTTATTCACGTCAAAGTGTTTCTTGATTCATTATGTCTTTATTCATTTAGTTTGAGTTCCTGGGTTTGTAGAGTTTATTCTTCTTTCATTGAGTCAGCTTTCTCAAATGTCTGCCTAGTTGTTATTATATTAAGATTTCCTATTGAATCATCTCTCATATCAATATGAGTAGGCAGCATTGGCGGGGGGAAAATTATTGTCATGCCTTATATTCTGCATTGCATTAAGTAAAAATGTGGGAATGCGTAATTGTTATTTGATTGTCAAAGCTGTCTGGTACTACGTAGCCTCCTGAAGCATTGTCCCGCATATTCTTCTACCTTATGTTCCCATATTCACCACTGCTTTCTGGAGGCAGAAACTGCTATTGCTGACCCTTCTTTGTAGGGGGTGTGTGTGGAATGTATAGGGCTGTTACATCTTCTTCACCTAAACGGATCACTCTGCCAATTGTCCGTTGGCCCTTTCTTGTTTCTGCACCTCTAGGCATGAACACTCCTGGTGATGCTTCTAGTCTATCTGGCAATTTGCATCTCCAACCTCATTCTACCTGCTTTCAGCTTACAGGAATTCTTTGCACAATTTCTGTCACTGAGAGTTTGCTTTCTTGTTTTCTTACTCTGTTACTCTTAAAGATTGAATAAACATATTTGAACTTATATTTCTCCAGCAGCATCAGGGATGTAGGTAATGTTTTCTTTGCATTTTTCTCTATCTTTTCTATGTTTAACTTTGAACATGCATTTTTTTAAGTCAGGAAAATGTGTATTTTTTTGTGTTAAATTTTAAAATATAAATGTTCTTTTATGATTCCATGATAAAAGTCGTGACCCAAAATGAAAAAGAACTGCTGAACACACCTGCTTCCTTAAGATGCTCTCTGCAAAATTCCGAGGAAGTCTTGATTGTGACATGGCAGAAAATCAAGGCTGTTAGCCCAGAAAACATGGTCACCTTCAGCAAGAACCATGGGGTTGTGGTCCAGCCTGCTTATAAAGGCAAGATAAACATCACCCAGCTGGAACTCAAGAACTCAACCATTACCTTCTGGAACACCACCCTGGAGGATGAAGGGTGTTACAAGTGCCTCTTCAATACTTTTGGTTCTGGGAAGATCTCAGGAACAGCCTGCCTCAGCCTCTCTGGTGAGAATCTCTGGGAATACATTGTCTCTGGCTAGAAATGTCATTTTCAAGAATGTTTGGAACATGGTGGTAGTGCCTAGTTTTTCAGGATCCTAACCTCAGAAAGGTTCATGAGAAGACGCTTAGCCTTTCATGTCTGTTCTAACTGTGTTTATGGTTACTTGGAAAGTTCATGGGGCTCCCTTGAATCTCTGCCTGGAGTTATCTTTGCTCTGAGGAATAGTGTTCTCAGCGAGAGTAAATTAAGGCCCGTGGTGAGGATAATGGGTTCTTCGTAAGTAGTGGTGTGATTCAGACCTGGCTTTGCCCTTAGCGGTCATGTGACCCTGGGAGCGTCCCATCCCACTCTCTGAACCAGAGTTTATTTATCTGCACAGTAAGTATGAAATCGATCATCTGTAGGGTCTCTAACAGCTTTAACACTTTTGGATCTAAGGACAGAGCCAGACTGGGCCTACCCAGAGCCAGTTATGGCGGTCCCTCTCGTTTTGTCTCAACATAGCTCTCTTGGGATATACCTCAGAGGCTCTTGGTACCTGCAGTCAGCTAGGTATTTAACTGGATAATAAGCATTCTTTTACAATCCAAGAGGCTTAGTTTGACAAGTTTCTTTTCCGTTTAACTGACACACAGCTGGGATCAAGAATTGAGAAGTGGGAGTAAGGGGTAACTTTGGAGCACGGCACACTCGGTGGCAGTTTTAGAAGGGAAAAGAGAAATTTAGACAGGGTTATCAGGAACGCTAAAGTGAGAGTTTGAGCACACCAAGAATATTGGACATGGGGTAAGGGGAGGATCAGTAAACGAGAGTGCAAGGGAGGTATGGCAACAGCAAAAAAAAAAAGGTTTCTCTCACTTATTTTGCCTATAATGAGTCCTCTCTGCAGGATCTCAGGTCAGGTTTTCTTCTTGACTCGATTTTTTTGTTTTCTTTGTCTCCTTGTCTCCCTGTCCTTTCTCCTCTTTGCTCTCCCTCCAGTCTTCCCTCCTTCTTCCCTCTCCTTTTTTCTCCTTCCTTCCTTCCTTCCTTCCTTCCTCCTCACTTGTCTTTTTATTCCTTCTTGTGGATGTTACTTTCATCTCTATTACTTTTCTTTCTTCTTTTTTTTCTCATCTTTCTCTTTTCTCCCCTCCTTTACTCATAAACTTTTGTATTATTTTTTACCTGAAAACCAGACTCCCCTGAATGTTCTGGATGGTAATCCTGTTCTTTTCCACATGGATCGTTTCCAGCCATACCTTATAGCTTCCTTGGATATGCCAGAGAACCCTGCCACCCAGTCTCACCATGTCAGCCATACTCCTCTTCTTTCGCTTTTATGTCGTCCCTTAGTGCCCATCACTTTAGTATCTGGGTATTCTTTGGAAGAAGCCACGGTCCCTCTGGGCCCATTTCCTCCAGTCCACTGCCGCCCACCCACCTCTTGAACCTCGAAACACAGACCAGGTTTTCCTTTAGCTACTGTCCTTTAATTATCTTGTAGGCTCCGGAGTAACCACAGGAAAGCCAGCTCATGTTTGCTCAGCGGCGATAAACTGCACACTCAAAGTACACAATGAAAATGAATTCACTGGTCAAAGGGACTTTTGAAAGGGAACAGGGTTACAGCTGGGCTAAAATAATGTGCTTTTCTTGTAAACCAGTTATTTTCTCTTAACTCTATCAGGTGATCTCCAAGGTCCGTTCAGCTGTCATTCTGTGATTTTCTGGTTATCAGCAGTGAATTTCTAATTTACATTTTCTGTACATATTCCAAGCAGGGACTTTCCAAGTCTCCTCCTCACATCTCATTCCCTGGTCCAGCTCGGAAAGGCCATCTCCGAGCAGCGCTCCCTCTGCGGGCTCTCTGGTCTGAAACTGCCCTGGGGCTTCTGAGAAGTGCACCTACCTCTGTGGCCATGCTGACAGGTGACCATTGTCAGGCTATGAGAGGGACACCCAGAAGAAGCCAGAGATGCTGCCTTGCCCATGGAACTGGAGAACAGAATAATTAGGCTCTGGACCGTTTGGGAAAGAAGGAACCCCCCCCCACCCCATTCAGCTAATTCCCTTGCAGACAAACTACAGAGAGGATTTTTCTTGTTACAGGGCTGTCTTAGGCTAGTTTCCATGCCAGCCAGAGGATTAGACACAGGAAGAACTGAGGAGCTCCACTTTGGGTTGGATGTGCCACTTTATCCCTTGAGCCCCCAGTGTCTTTCTGTAAAGATCTTCCTTCCTCCTCTGAGGAGAATGTGGGGCTTAACTGATGGCAGACCATCATTTTTTTTTTTTTTTTGTCCCAGTACAGCCCACAGTGTTCCTTCAGTATAAATTCTTCGAAGACCGCCTAAATATCACTTGCTCTGCCAATGCCCGCCCAGCCCCTGTGATCTCCTGGAAAGTGTCTGGATCAGGGATTGAAAACAGTACTGAGGTTCTCTTCCACCCCAATGGGACCACGTCTGTCACGAGCGTTCTCCAGGTCAAAGACCCCAAGCGTCAGGTGGGGAAGGAAGTGGTCTGCCAGGTGCTGCACCTAGGGAATGTGACCAGTGTCACGCAAACTGTGGATAAAGGTAAGAGAAGGCTGTGGTTGCATCTGTGTACACACAACTGGAAAGTGGTGAATGTTCTGCAGAGCCTCTTGGCCTCTTAGCCAAGGAGCTAATAAGAGAGAATGGAGTAAGTGGGGAAAGAAAAACAGAGTTGAGGAAACCAGTAGAGCCAGTTTTACTTCGGTAACTGTTGTATGTTGCCCACATACCAAATGCTTTTGTTGAGATCCATCCATGCCTTTATTTGTCCATGCTGCTAACATTTCCTGAGTGTCTGTTGTGTGCCAGGTTTGGGGACTGTTGAAACGCAACAGTAAGCAAGACTCAGTCCCTGTGCTCAGAAAACTTCTGTTCTACTGAGGATACACAATGGGCAGTTACATAACTGCGTGCGAAATGCCTCAGTAAGAAAGCTACGGTGCACCCGGAAGGATTGAGAGTGGGGAGGAGAGGATCAGCTCAGTCTGGAGGGAGCAGGAAGATTTCCTGGAAGAAGTGACATCCATGAGGAAGGCTGTGCATCCTCTGCACTGTAGAACAGGGCCACAGAGCTTTTAAGAAAGGGGCCAATCTGAGAATGTTTTCCTCACCCCTTTGAAACAAACTGCCTCCTGAGCAAGACCGTTTTTGCTTTCTTGTGTTTCTCTCTAAGCTGCTAGCTCTGGGCCTCATTGACACAAGAAGTGAGGCCTGTGGGCGGGAGAAGAGAGGGAGCGGCAGTTTTAGGCAAGATGCTTTGGGAATAGCCATGGTTTTCTTTATCTGTGTGGCTAAAGCATCAGCTCTGGACGAGCCTCTCAGTCATAAGTCTCCTACAAAGGTACTGATGCTTTTTTTTCAGGGAGCATTTTAAGCACTAAAGCTTGGGAAAACTTTCCCCTGTATGCCTTATTGGAGTGGTGGCCTCTAGGGAACATTTCCTATAGTCATTTTTGGGGTTATTCAAAAAAACAGACTAATCAAAAAGTTAACATTTAGGTAATTTTGGGCAAAAGATTTGTGGTGTTAGATCTGGACATTTGTGAAGAGATCCTCATTTTCAGCCAAGGCAGAAGGTAAATTTCCCTGAAAAGCAGGAACCTGAAAAGGAACATGTCTTCTTGTCCAAGAATGCCAGAATTGACTTACATCGTTTATAATGTTTATACATCATTTGTGTAATGTTTGTTTACTCTGTGAGCATTTACTGAAAGTCTTCCATGCTTCAAGCATTTATCAGGCACTGGAACCATGGAAGTTAGGCACATCTCTGTCTGAAGGGGCTCGGTTTAATTACGATGTGAGAAATCCTGTTACAGAAGTATGAGGAAGATGCTGGAAACTCCCAAATCAGGAGGCTCTTCCCCCGCTGTAGGATTGTGGAGTGACACTGAGGGGCTGTGTTTATTGACTGTTGGAAAGAGGTTTAATAACAAAGACACAGATTAGAAGAAATACAATAAATACATTGAGATGAGTTACTCCTGGGGTTGGCATCATGAAATCCATGATTTTTTTCCCTTTATATATATCTCTGTATTTTCCACAACTTCCTCAATAAATATATTATTTTAATGGGCTGTGACCTCTGACCGAGCCTTGGTTCTGCCCCTTACTATGCTGATGTGGGGCTTACTTAGCTTCTCTGAGCCTCAGTTTTTTGTTCTGCTGTTGTTGTTGTTTTTATGTGTGCGACGATGATAATAATCCCTAACTCTTGGGTTGTTTTGAGGATTAAATGAAATAACACATTCAAAGCTCTTATGAAATAGTAGCCACAGAAAACATGTGGTTAGATTATTATTAACCAAATGTTATTGAAATAATATGAAACCATGAGTGGAGACCTCAATAGGTATATATTTGAGGATAATTTTCATCGAAAGCTCCACTCTAGGAAAAACTCATCACAACGATTGCTTTATCACTTTTTGCCTCAATGGTTTCTGCTTATGACTTTGTTTCTCCTTTCCCCCCCCTTCACCATCTATAGGGTTTTGGTTTTCCGTTCCGCTCTTGTTAAGCATTGTTTCCTTGGTAATTCTTCTGGTCTTAATCTCAATCTTATTATACTGGAAACGTCGTCGGAACCAAGACAGAGGTAAGTTATCACAGTAAGTACAAAGAAGGAAACAAATGATTTTTTAATAGCACTGTGGAGGGCACAGGAAGATGTAAATAAGGGATGGCAACAATGTGTCCTGCTTGTTGCTGGTGTTTTAGAACATTTTTGGGGTCATTTTCTTGCAGTTGGACATTTAACTGGATGTTTCTGCTTTTTATTTGCTAAGATCATTTAATGGCTAATTATTTGTAAGTTGAGAGTAAACGTCCATGAGAGGAAATGTGGAAAATGTTTGTCCGATCCCTGTAGAGTCAGCTGATGGCCACACCAGGGAAAGAAGTCTCAGTACCCACACTGTGTTCTTCTACCCATTAACAAGCAGGACAGTCTCTTTTCCTTTTACAGCGAGCGCTCCCCGGGCCAGCTAGTCCGCGTAAGAGACTCTGAAATTGTCCAGTATACTCACTAATTAAATAGTACTTTCTATTTTATACTCTTACTATGCCTCAGATACTATAGGCAGCTTATAGGTGACCTATACTTATTAACTCCGTCATGTCATTCTGTCCTTATAGACTATAAACTTTTTTCTGTCCCTACAACATCTATCACAGTGTCTTATGTATATGAAGTTCTCAATAAACTTTCATTAAGACAGTGAATGAATCGGATGGTTGGATGGATGGATGGATGGATGGATGGACAGATGGATAGATTTTCAAAGTGACGTTTTCAATTCTCTTTTTCTTACTGTAATTTCAGTACCTCGTAAATGCTGAGTCTAAAAACTTGGGAGATACTATGAAATGAGAAGCTATAAAACAAGAGGAGTCAGCTAGAGAGAGAGAATTCATTTTTTTTGTTTTCGGGAGGCAGTGCGTAATTTATTAAAGTTAATGCAAAGCTTCAGTTTATGGTGTGTGTGACGGGGATTTCCAAGGGTGAAAGGCGGATATGAGAATTTTTTCCATCTCTGATGACTGAAGGATAGGAAGAAAAAAACTGTTGGTTTTTTTAAAGTTAAATCGTAAGCTATCTTTCATGTTGTAGGTTTTTCGAACACTTAATTTTGTGTAAGCCTTATATAAACACCAGATTAATTCTTGTGATTTTATAAGAAAAGCAACAAATCTTCAGTGTCAATGACCCTTTTGCAAAAGTAGATAAAAGTGTGTTCTGTGGGAAGAAGAGATTACAGAACAGATAATTTTATTGCATATAAACATAAGCCCATAGAATTCATTAGTGCTCTGCAGAATGTCAAAGGCAATAAGTAGGCTGTTTGATTTTACTTTGTCCAAACATTTCATTTTTCCCATTAGGACTTGAAGCCAGAGAGGGAAATTGACTTCCTTCCCTAAGGTCGCACAGCTAGTTAACAACAGGCTTAGGACTAGAACCCTGGTTTTGGTCTGCTGACCTCTGCCAGAATGTTCTTCCAGCTATGATGCCCTGGAGTCCTGATTTGAAAGGCATTATTGGGTTGCATGTATTTTAGTCCTTGCTTGCTGTTACTGTTGTATTCTTTTGGAAAACGTGAGGAAAGAAGTATGAAGTGTTCAAATTCATCTTAAAAAGTCCCTGTTGGACAAGAATCTTATAATACAATCTATTCAAACCCAAGGTAAATTCCACTAGAATGAGACATTTGCAAAATAATTGTCCTTTGTTCATTAAGTAAGCCTTGGGTTTTCTGGGAAACATCATTGTTCAATGTCTTTTCCAGTTCCTGAAGCAAAGGGAGTCAGCTTATCTTTGTTTCTAGGCTTTTTCTCATTTATGAAAATAAACACCTGTACCTCTACAGAATCTTGCAAGCACTGGGATTGCCATTTACTGATGATGTCTTCATGACATACCGCCAAATCAGTTAATTACATTGAATGTTCAGTGGCACATTTTGGGGGACTGAATTTTTTTGCTGGTTTCAAATATTTTAACAGCCAGATGATTTGGTCCCATTTACTTAAATAGCTAGTAAAATGAAGTGTCGATTATGCTGGAGACTTAAACACTCAAGACCAAAACTGAAGTTATAACAAAAGTTGGGCGAAAGGGAAGAAAACCATAGAAGATGTTGACACTTTAAATTTCTTTACGTAGCAAATTGTGATTATCAATTTGTGATGAAAGCCAGTGGACCTACTACATTTGCTTCCTATCTTTCCTTACACTTACTTTGGATTTTCTTTTTTTCTTCTCTTTTTCTTTCCATCATCTCCTGAACACCTAAAACTTTTGGATGGGCAGGAAAACATGATCAGTCAAAAATGACACCAAGTTTCTGATCCCAGTGACTGGAACAATGGTGATGTGCTCAGAAATAAGGAAGTGAAGAGGGGAACTGAATGTGTGTGAGTGTGTGTGTGCTTGTGTTCAAAGTTCATGGAGAGAGGAGGAGAGGAGGGATGAATTCATTCTTGAACTCACTGAATGTGGGTAGAAAGGAATCCTCTCCAGGGAGCCGCCCCATGGTAAGACAAATCTAGTTAAGTAAGTTTGACTCAGCAACAACAAAGTCTATTTAGATCAAAATCACTTATTCATTGCTCACAAAAGCACAAGCAAATTTATGGTTTTGGGATAGAGGAGTGATCTCTAATGATGATGTCACTTTTGTAGAAAAATCACTTTTTCTTGTGATTCTGTTTAATGCCAGAGAACGGTTGTGTTCTTTTCACCAGTGAAGGTGAAATACCTCTGGAAGAAGGTATGATGACTTAGAGACAATTTCTCTTTGTATCAGTCCTGATGGGATCATTGTAGTTACTTCCCATGAGATGACATCAGTAAGATAGTAGGTTGATTAATAGGTTGGTGTGTTTTCAAAGAACAGCCTCTTTTCTTTGTCTTTTGTGAATCCAGTACTTGATATTACTAAAATAGAAAGTGAAAAAATAAAATAAAATTTCCCAGGGAAATTTTCCACCGTTCTATAATAGGTCTTGCTTTAAAACCCAGTTGATGTCATAAATGTGCCCCTTCCACAATGAAATTAAATTTGAGCTTGAGAATAGCGTTTTATTTCTCATTAGTCAACCCACCGATGATTACATGCTTCTCAGAAACTCAACCTCAATTTGGGGCAGATCTTAATAGACAGATAATCACCTCAGTTTTTGAAATTTTTGAGTACTAGCTTTCTTTTGTTTGATTGAGTCAAGGCAGAATTGGCAAACAGTAGAAAATTTAGACATTCACATGAAATGCACATGCCAAATTTCACTTTTTCTTCAAGTGTCTAGCTATTTCATAGCAAAGTGGTTTTTTTTTTTCTTGCCCACATTATCTATAGTTACCCTGAATTCTTCCACTTCACTTCATAATAATGTAACCTGTAAATGGGCTCTTTCAATGATAATGGCAGTGTTAATAAAACACTATATTCTAGGTGGAATCATGCCATTTTTTTCTATTTTAAGCTTAGTACTATATCAAATAACAGAAGTGCCCAATGGACAATTTATGTTGGTGAAATTAGTGACTAGTTAGAAGGACAGTACAAAGAGTATTTGTTTCTAAAATAATAATCTTTGCTTTGCGTAATAATTGTACTTACGTCTCCCTGAGGCAGGCTGGATGGGTGGTAGCCAGCACCCCTACCCCAGTTTCCTCATAGCTCCAAGCTGAAGAAATGGGGTGTTTTATACGAGAAAAGTGTGGGGCAACCTTTATTGAACTGCTTAGGTCAAAACTGCTGGGAGAAATCTTGCATTCCAACGTATTTTTCCATAAAAGTTTACCCTTGAATGGGGGCAGATGCCATCCATCATATCAAAATGTCACGACCAGATGACAGAGTCACTCACTAGCAGAACCTTAAGCCTGGGCATTCTTGCCTGAGCTGTTCTGTGTTTTGTTTTGTTTTGTTTTTTTACCACAGACAGCAGATACTGGAATTTTGGCAGGTTTAAAATGTTACAGTTTCTGGTAAAGAATTACTTAAGATTACACAGAGAATGAGAGGTAGCACCAAGATAAAATCCCAGGTCTTTGCCTGCCTTGTAGGGAGGTCCACATCCTTTCAGTTTAGGTGCTAGAAACCTGGTAGCCCTGGAAAGGCCCTCCATGGGTCTACTTTGTGACCATTCCCAGCCCAAGGTCCAGTGAGTTAGTATCCACAGAGAACAAAGCTCAAGGTCTTATAAATAAAATAAATGTAGATTATTTGGAATTCTCTAACTTTTTTTTTTGCGTGTAGTCCTAAGTGATTCTGCAAAAGATTATTTTCTAGAATTTCCTATGTCCCTTGGAGAGAGTCATGGTCTCCCCACATCACATTGGGTCAGGAATGTCCTTATCTTTGCCAATGAAATATGCACAGGTGTATTCTATGCTTCTGTTATGTATCTTCTTCAAATGTGTTAGGATAGACATTTTAAATGTTTGAAGTTAATATCTTGATCTTTCTTTTATCCAGAACCCTAGAGGAATCACACAGAACCCAGAAAAGTTACTCCCTGGTCTACTTGAATCTGACTCAGGAGGAAGGCAGGAGGAAAAAGGTCATTCTCTAAGGGACATAAAGAGCAGAAGAGGTAGGGGTAAAAGACCTAAGAATTTCAAGATTTTCTACTGCCATCTAAGCTACCCAGTGCTTGTGGGAGTTCCAAAAGGAAGTCGTTTTACCTCTCAAGTCTGTTGTAGGACTTGATTTTGTGAAGCAATGCAGTGATGTGCTATTGAAAGGAGACTGGACTTTGAATCAGTAGCCACAACTCACAGGCTGACTCTGGCTCCAACCGAGGGCAACCCTCTGTCCATCACTTTATCTCAATAAGCATCCACACCTGCATCCAGAAAATTAGGAAGTTGGACCAGATAGTTTGCCATTCTGCTCCAAAAACTGATGAAATTCCAGGAAAAAAAGGAATCAAGAAAGGAAAAAGAGAAAGGAGAACACGGGAAGGTGTTAAGGACCAAAGAACTTTTCTGAGACTACCTTTTACCTTTCAGTTGCTGTTTTGTCTCTTCTTGCATATTGTTCTTAGGTCCACGAGTCAGTTTCCTCCTCACGTGGTGGTGGTAGTCCACTACCTGCTGACTGGTTTGTTAGTAACTGGTCTTTCTAGAACCCTTGGTTTCACTGCAGTTCTTCATGTCCTCCCGTGACTGACGTTTACCACAATGAATATGGGACTGAATTCATTGCAAAATAACATTGACAACCTTAACTTTACTTACCTACTCGTATAGAAGAAGTATTGTTAACCCAGCAGCTCACTTTTTTAAAAAAAGCATTTCCTGTCGCATTTGACTTATAATAGGATCTGGTTCTATACCAGTCATTGTGAAATCAAAAGAAAATATATGATAAAATAAAAACAGGCATTTAGGAAGTTTAGAATTCAATTCAAAGTCAATTCAAATGCTTCTCCCTCCTGGCTTCTTTTCCCATGAGTTAACTTCTCGTAATAGCAGAGAAAGTATGTTTGGGTTTAGAAATCCCTTTGTTCTAAATTATATTGTTCTAACTAGTGGAACATTTTTGAACTCTTAAAAATCACAAGACCAAATTATTGACTTTTTCAGTATCTTTTGCTTTCTTGTCTCTACTCAGTGACCTAAGAACTAAAGCTTAAGTTGTTTTCACTGTTGAATTGGATATTTGTATATTTAGTAAGCTTTTCATATGTTATTTAAATCTGTATTATTTCTTATATTTGTATTAAGATACTGAATGATTAAAAGTGTCAAATCTAAATATTTGGTTCATGACACTCTTGGGAAATGTGGACATTAATGATAATCTTTAGATTTTCCCTCTTTGTGTGAAACCCTCCTCTCTCCTCTATCTCTCACCCACTAGAAGATGCCACTGACATTTCTGATTAATCACAAAGTCACAAATCAGATATCCCCGATCTGGCCAGTGAGAGCTCCGTCAAGTTGACAACTGTGTCCTTTGGACATGACCTGGTCAATTTGGGAGCACTTCCTTGTATATGCTCTTTTGATTTTGCTTTTAGATACCAACCTTTGCAAACTGATTAAGTTACTACAGTTTTGAATTTAATCAGAGCTACCACCCTGCCTGGTATCTCAACTGCCAGATCAGGCAGGATAACAAAAGCAGCAGTTCCCAAAAATTTAGAATGTGCTTAAAAACATTATTGAGGACCCCAGAGAGCTTTCTTGTAAAGAGAAGTGTTTGTTGATATTTACCACATTCGAAACAAAAATATACAAATATACATTCTATTAGCCATCAGAACGATGTCCACGTTACACATCACGTAGTTTCTGGGAAGTTCCGCATCACGATTGTGAGAGAATGAGCATAAAAAAGGCAAATGATGTATTGGTGTGAACAATAGTTTTGACTTTTGTGGACCCCCTGAAATAGTCTCAGGGACAATATTAAAGACTGATCATTTAAAATATATGCAAAGAAGGAGACCACCTTATGAGAAGATTTCATGAGTCTTTCCCAAAGAAACTCCTTATTAAACAGATACCTTTACAATGCCTAAGCATTCTATTATTTTATCATAACTTATTGCAGAGAGCCCGAGGACTAATCCTTCTTCATCACTAATACAGGTGTACCTTGGAGATATTGTGGGTTTGGTTTCAGACCTCTGCAGAAAAGCAAATATCACAATAAAACACCTCAGATGAATTTCTTGTTTTCCCAGTGCATATAAAAGTTATGTTGACAGTATACTGTACTCTATTAAGGGTGCATTAACGCTATGTTTAAAAAAAAAAAACAACTATGTATGTACCTTAGTTTAAAAATACTTTATTGCTAAAAAATGCTAACCATCATCTGAACTTTCAGCAAATCATAACCACTGATCACAGATCATCTAGCAAATAGAATGGTAATGAAAAAGTTCAGAAAATTGCGAGAATTACCAACATGTGACACAGAGACATGCAGTGAACAAATGTTTTTGGAAAAATGGCACCAATAGACTTGCTCGAGGCAGGGTTGCCACAAACCTGCAATTTGTAAAAAACACAGGATCTGTGAGGAGCAATAAAGCAAGGTACACTTGTAATTCAATTAAATTGGCTTATGAAATGGCTTCTCAGTTACCTTGGAGGATATTGAGAGACTTGGACTTTGAATAGTAGGTTGTAATAGACAAGACCCGGGAGGGTCGCAGCCTATGGAGGCAGGAGGAGGAAGGGGGGAACCGGATCACGTGTTTCTGCCCGAGAAAGTGGATGTGTGTGAAACACTTTGTTGCCCTGTGACCCCTGGGAGGGCTCACCAACTCCTTTGTACTTATTCTGAATGTTCCAGTTAAGGGTGCTTTTTCTGTATTTGTGAATTGGAAAGAGGCAGCTTGGGCTTTGCCTGTTTATGTAAGATTGGGAAAGTTGGAAACATTCGAGTCACTTAAAATAATTCAATGATGTAGTTCTGTTGCTGGTAAAGATTTAGAAAAATTCCAAGATGGTGCTAAACCTGCCTCCGAGACAGGGGAAATCAAAAGAAACCCTTTGTGCTTAAATAAAACTAAAACTGAAGATGAGAATTTGGGAGAGTGTGTAAAAATTTATTAATCACCAACCAGGTAACATTTTATAAATGCAGGTTCAAAAAGTACAAAATCCATATTGTAACTAGGGATCATAAAGCTTTGGTTAAAACAGTTTTCTTTGTTACAAACAAACTTTCTTCTATGACTATTCTTAGCCTTCCAAGAAAGAGATTTAACTTTTTTAAAAATAAAGCTCCCTAGGGGCGCCTGGGTAGCTCAGTGGGTTGAGGGTCAGACTCTTGATTTAGGTGCAAGTGGTGATCTCAGGGTCATGAGATCTAGCCCCATGAGGGGCTCCACGCTCAGCAGAGAGTCTGCTGCTCTCCCTCTTCCTCTGTCCCTCCCCCTGCTCATGAGTGGGGTCCCCTCTAAAAATAAATAAAGTCTAAAACAAACAAAAAAGAAACCGTTGCCGAGTTTTTAAAATCAATCAATCAATCAATCAATCAATAAACTCCTTAAATTAATTCCTCACAACTGTAATGTCTTTTGGTTTGGGAGTTTTATATTTGCCCCCACGATATTCCAGATTTGATCTCAGTCTCCCCACCACAGTTGTTCAGGCAGACGAACTTGCAGGAGGTCACACAGAGCTGCGGCTCATTTCTAAGCAAGCAAACTTCTGCCCAGGCATCACATGCCTTTGAGCCTTTTGCGATCAGGAACGTGTCAAAGCCCATTTTTCTCGGTGTGAAAAATGAGGCCCCAAGCTTCAGTGATTTTTCCTCAGGTAACACTGTAACCATGAGACGGGCTTAAACTCCAGCTGGGAACCCCAGGCTTCCTGCCCAGGGCTCTCTCTGTCCTCTGCACTCATCCCGCGATTCAGCCCCCACCCTACTCGTCTATCCTGTTAGTTCTATCGGTACTCAGAATCCAGTTCCTACCCCCAATCCTACCACCTTGCCCCAACCATCACTGTCTTTCTCCGAGACCGCTGTCATAGCTTTCCTTTTAGTCTCCCTGCTCTTTCTCCCCTGTTTGGTCTATTCTCATAACTGTTTTAAAATGTAAGGCAAGGGGCGCCTGGGTGGCTCAGTCATTAAGCGTCTGCTTCTGGCTCAGGTCATGATCCCAGGGTCCTGGGATCGAGCCCCCACATCGGACTCCCCGCTCGGCGGGGAGCCTGCTTCTCCCTCTCCCACTCCCCCTGCTTGTGCTCCTTCTCTCACGGTGTCTCTCTCTGTCAAATAACTAAATAAAATCTTTTAAAAAAAATAAAATTTGGGCGCCTGGGTGGCTCAGTTGGTTAAGCGACTGCCTTCGGCTCAGGTCATGATCCCAGGGTCCTGGGATCCAGCCCCGCATCGGGCTCCCGGCTCCGCGGGAAGCCCGCTTCTTCCTCTCCCACTCCCCCTGCTTGTGTTCCCTCTCTCACTGTCTCTCTCTCTCTCTCTGTCAGTTAAATAAATAAATAAAATCTTTAAAAAAAATAAAATAAAATGTAAGGCAATCCAAATCAGGTCATTCTGCACAAAATGTCCAAATGCTCTGCGTTTTATTTAGAGTAGAAGCGGAAGTCTTTACATGGGCTGTAAGGCTCTCCATGATCAGGGCCCCTGAAAACTCTCTGAAATCATCTGCCCCTCTTTCTCCTGATGGCGCTCTGCCAGCCACACTAGCCTCCTTGCATTTCACCACCTTCAGGCATGCCTCCACCCCAGGGTCCGGGCACCTGCTATTTTCTCTGCCTGGAATGTTCTTTCTGAAGACAGCCACTGAAGCCTTTTCCCCAACAAATACTCTCTTTCTCCTGCTTTATTTTTCTCTGTTGCACCCGCCACCGTCTGGCATACTCTATGTTTTATTTATTTCATGTATTATGTGTCTTCTCCCATTAGATGGTAAGCAGAGATTTTTATCTGCTTGCTTCCTTGCTTTTTCCTAGCACCTAGTACAGGTGGCCAATAAATATTTTTTTTTGATAAATTCATGTTACATAATACATTACGGGAAGAAGGAGTAGTCCAAATAACTTCGCACTGGTATATCCTTCCTGCCCTGTGGGAAAGTGTGATCGACCTAGACCGCAGGAAAGGACTTTTAGAAATTGGTGGTCATGAGGCATAGGGACAAGGGTAATAGATGTCGAGCCAAAGGAGGGGGTTTCAGTTCCACTCCTGCCACTCAGTAGTGTGTGATCTTGGGCCAGGTGCTCTGAATTGACATTTCCTCAGTTATTAATTGGGTGTGTGCTCTGTCTTTTGGAGGGGCTGTAGGGCTCAAGTAAGAAAGGCTGTGTCTCTCAGCTTGCCCAAGTGCTGACGCAGGTCTGCCCCGTTTGCTCAAAGTTCCCACGAAACAGCACGGGCCTCACGTCCTCAGTTGTTCTTCGATTCCTCCTCACCCCCACAGCCAGCCCCTCCCTTGTCCAGGAGTGGACGTGGGGCCAAGGAGGACGGGGGCCGGCTGGCAGTGGGGGCTGCGCTCTTGCTGGGCAGAGACAAATCCAGCCGGCCTTGTTTCCTACAGGGGCAGAGGTCCAGTGCACCCTCCAGGACGACTTGGCCTTTCCTTGCCCTGAAAGAGAATAAAACACACAAAAGTTGAAGTCCTTTCTCTTTAGCATTGGCTTTCTTTCTTTCTTTCTT